ATGTCTCCTACAAAAAGAGTCTCTGTCCTGTCTGTATCATGTCAGTTGATCGCACCATTACTTCTTAAACAAACTTATAAAGAAAACTTAAGATTGAACACAAATGCCCCCAAAAAGAAAATCATATTTTGCAGATTACAAGCTGCAAGTAGCGAAATATGGAGCAGAAAATGGTAATCGAGCAGCAGAAACAAAGTTTGGAGTGATTGAGAAACAGTGCATCATGCAGCTTTCCTGGAAGTCACTGGATGGATGGACAAAGCCTGGACTTCAGTGACAACCAAAACCATCCTGTCGGGATTCAGAAAGGCCGGAATAATTCTAACTGGAACTGATCCTGAGTCTGACAGCTACACAGAAGAGGAAGTTGCGCTCCATTTACCTCCGGAGGTCACGGAGTTGCTCAGAAGTGACACAGAGGATGAAGAATTGAATGGATTTAGTGATTTGGAGTGAGATGGAGAGTTTGGTAAACTTGTTCTGTTCTGTTGTTTATGTTCTAGTTTATCTGAAGAACTGTTCATATGTGACGTTAACAGTCTGTTGTTCTCTGTTCTATTGTTATTACTAGAACTTGACTTTCAAGATGAAATGTCGGTTCCTGGTCTCTGATTTTACAAAATAAATTTCCCCCAAAAAGTACGACTTATATATGTTTTTTCTTCTTCATTATGCATTTTTTGGCTGGTGTAACTTATACTCCAGAGCGACTTATAGTCCAAAAAATATGGTACTTGCTACTACTGACTTTAAATGTAATGTACATCAAAATGTGTAACACTTTCTGCATCTCTTTGTGTGTGCTGTAGGTGTGTACTTCGTGGTGTGTATGGCTCTGCTCATGCTCAGTCTGATCAAGTCCATCGTGGTGGTGAAGCTGCTGCACCACGGGGAGCAGGGCGTGAGGCAGATGTCTGTGTCCGCATGTCTCCTGCACACGTACGCTTCCTCGCACGTGCACACAGAAACACTAGAGGGCGCTCTCACCTCCACCGCCGCCCTGCCCACCGAGGAGCTAGAAGACGGTGAGCTCCCGAGTCATGGGAATCGATCATTAAAGATGCTGTACCTGATTTTTACTATCTTAAAAAAAAAAAAAAAAAAAAAAAAACGTGAAATGAATCCTGCTCTTGACATAAACACCATTGGCTTGAGTGGTCAAATCCACTGACCCACAGGTTGGCAGTGCAATTCCAGGTCCTACAGAAGAATGCTGTCATTGTGTCCTTGGACAAGACACTTAACTGACCTCGCAGTGTCTGTGTACACTGGTGTATGAATGTGTGTGTGAGTGGGTTTGTGGTTCCTTGTTGTAAAGCGCTTTGAGTGTCTTAAAGGTGGAAAAACACTATATAAAAATGTGACCATTTAACATTTAAATGAGAATTCCATTCACTTTAATGGAGAATTTGAGAAAATTAAATATGAAATGAAATAAATAAAAAGAATGAAATAATGCAGGATTATCTGTGTAAAATGTTCAATGTTTATGACTTCTGTCTCCCTCTAGCTCCTGTTTCTCTCTGGAGTGGCTCCTGTCTCTCACTCTGGCTCCGGTCTCTCGTTCTGGCTCCTGTCTCGCTCTGGCTCCTGTCTCTCTGGAGCGGCTCCTGTCTCTCTCTGTCTCTCTGGCTCCTGTCTCTCTCTGTGGCTCCTGTCTCTCTCTCTGGAGCAACTCCTGTCTCTCTGTGGCTCCTGTCTCTGGCTCCATTCCTGTCTCTCTGGCTCCTGTCTCTCTCTCTGGCTCCTGTCTCTCTGGAGTGGCTCCTGTCTCTTTCTAGTGGCTCCTGTCTCTCTCTTCTGGCTCCTGTCTCTCTTTGGAGCGGCAAAAAGTTTTACAGCCAAAAATTAAACACTGCACTGATTCTCTGGGAGGTTTTAAAACAACCCCAAGAAGAATAGAGTTTATCATCTTGTTTTTTGCTCTTTTTCTCCAGAGTTGTCGTTGGAGGGCTCGCTGGAGGAGGACCTGGCCTCCCTCTCCTCTCTGCAGGATGCCCCCTCTGGTCTGGAGTGGTTACTGCAGGAGCTGGTGTCCCTGCGCGTGGGTCTGTCTGAAGAGGACAGTGAAGGATCTGCCCAGGCCCAGTGGTTGTCCCTGTGCCTGAAGCTGGACCTCTTTCTCTTCAGGCTCTATCTGCTGGTGTTGGTGGTTTACACCGGGACTCTGCTGCTGCTCTGGGCCAGCTGGAGCCGAGCATGAGGAGTTACAATTATACTTTATAGAGGTTGATGTGGACTATACAGTGTTCTCCATTAAAGGGCCCATTTTACACTATTATCTGTTAAAATGTTGTTTCCTCATCACAAACAGACAGAGTTGTGTGAAACAAGACATACTGTAACTCGAGGTATGTTCTTAAACAACTTTTCTTTTTTTTTTTAATAGAAAGTTACCCTTACTGGAAAATGTAAAAATGGACAAGGTCCAAACCCAAGGCACTCCGACTGAATATGTTAAAAGTCCTTTATTGCATGAAGGGACGTCAACGCGTTTCGACCAGCAAATGGTTTGTTTGTTTAGACTCCCCTGCTTTAAAACTTACTAAATGTATGTCTTTTTATATCCAATCTAGGGGTGTGCAAAAATATCAAAATATTGATATATCATATCGTTATGTAATGATACAGTATCGATATCATGGGCTGCTGTATTGATTTATTGCTAAAAGTATTTTTTGGTGTTTTTTACTAAATTATTTTGTTACAGCTACAGTTTTGTTGCTTGTTTAATGGAAAGAAACTTTTTTTAATTACATGAGTTAGGCTTTATTTTTTTATTGAACCGTATCGAATCGAAAGCTCGCTATATCAAGATATGTATCGTATCATGGCCTATGTATCGAGGTATGTATCATATCTGCAACTTCTTAATGATACCCAGCCCTACTAATAGCAACAATATTAATATAATGATAAAATGAACACTCAGATTTAATCATACTAGTCCTAACACAATAAAACCAATAAAAGAAAATATGATCAACACCATAGAGTAGCAATAAATAAAACCAATAAAATACATTACAAATAAATAAGAGACACAGAGGACCACACAACTCACGTGGTGTTAAAAGCCTGAGAATAAAAGTGGGTTTAAATGCTCCTAATACAACCCAAACACTATACTGTAGCTCTTTAGAATCCTCTTCACTGAAAAGAAATGAGAAAGAAATGCATTTATTTACAGAACCAGAGCTGACCTCAGGATGGGCGGGGCTGAAGGGAAGCTCAAAAAGTTTGACAGCTAGATGACCAAGAATTATACATATTATAATATTTGTTGTTAGACAATTCAAAACATATTGAACGAATGAATCCCTATGTTAAAAAGTTAATGCATAAATTACAATACATTTTCATATATTTGAATATACACAGGCAATCCTTAAAACTAAATACACCACATGCCAAGTGAACTGTTTTAATATATGTTTTGATATTAATGTATAATTGCTGTAATTTTAATGCTGTTTCTAGTATATTAAAACCACCCCAGTCAATTATTTACATCTGCGTATTGTTTGAATGATAACTTTTATTGTTGTACTCTTTTTTTTTACACTTCTATGAAAAATGAAGTTGGTTTTATTAATTCAAAACTTAAATAAATGATCACACACTGAATAAAACACTCATAACGGCTGTTCTTTACCATATTTAACATGCAAACCCCGTTGAGAAATATTTTTTTAACAAGCCATTATAGTTTGAAAAAGACATTACCGCTCCTCTGTTTCCGACACCGGAGATTTATCCAGATCCCCCATAATATTCTCTCTGTCCCTATTGCCACGCCGATGTTATGATATTGTATTCACGTTTTAATCTTGCCGCAAAATAGATCAATAAATCCCCCAGAGAGGCTGGCTGCTCCTGGTTGGGTTCCTAATAGTCTGGATAAGAGTATCAAAGAGCACTATGTGAAAGCCCCGGTCCCGGACATCTATAGTAATGCAGTTTTGTCAGGCTGAAAAGCTTTTCTCCACTGGGTCGAGTTACACGATGTTATGCAACTGAACCGCACAAAGGGTTCGATATGATTGTAATATCATAGTGAAAAGTGAATGGAAACATCAATGAGTGTGACTGAATGATGGATGACAACTGTTTTCTGATGTTATAATGTTATTTTCTCATCACAAACAGACCTGGAGTTGTGTTTTGTTTCACTCACACATGTTTAACACACAAATCCTGCATATTTAAGCTGTGTTCTTTTCTTAGAGGTGACAGTGGCTCAGTGGTTACAGCAGTAGTCCTCCAACCCAAACGTCGGACGATTTATTCTCACCCGGACAAGATCTCGGACACAAGGTCAGATTAAAGTCTAAAGCCTCAGATAGAGCGGTGCTTACAGTTAGCATCGCATTATATAGGATAATGTAAGTGTAATGTGTAATGCGTTGCTGTTGGCGTGCAGGGAGGAGCCGGGGTGAGGAGGGCAGTGATGCAGAGATGCCTCCTGTCTCGTGGTCTGTGTCTGTGTCTGATTGTTCCGCAGAGAGAGGACAGCACAGGAGAGCACAGGAGACCGGGGGGGAGCTCAAAAGACCAGAGGAGTGCACACGAGACCAGAGAAGATCAGAGGAGACCAGAGGAGAGCAGAGGAGAGCACACAAAAACACAGGAGAGCACAGAAGACCAGAGGAGAGCACACAAGAGCACAGAAGACCAGACAGACAGACCAGAGGAGAGCAGAGCACAGCACAGGAGACCACAGACTTCCAGAGGAGGCCACAGGAGAGCACAGGGGACCTGATGAGAGCACAGGAGATCAGAGGCGACTAGAGGGAACAGAGGTGATTAGGGCACAGGAGAGCCCAAGAGACCAGAGACTTCCAGAGGAGACCACATGAGAAAATAGGGAACCAAAGGAAAGGAGAGGAGACTACAGGAGAACAGAGGAGAACAGAGCACACCACGGGAGACCAGACAAGACAACAGAAGACCAGAGGAGAGCAAAGGAGGAGATCAGAGGAGACCAGGGCAGTACAGACATGAGGACTTCACTCATCTGCATGGTGCTGCTTTCTGTGGCACTGTACGGAGCAGCAACGGGACGGGCTGGTAAGTAAGAAATGTTTTTTGTTTTTTTTTGGTGCCATCTTTACCCACAGTTTTGATCTCAGGCCTGTAGACTCTTTAAAGTTCTGTGTGATCAAAATGCTTAAAATTCTAGAGTGGCGGCAACTGGAGGCAAAGTGAAGCAGAAGTAGTGGAAAAAAAGTACTCAATTTTGTTACTTAAGTAAAAGTGCAGATACCAGAGCAAATAAATACTCAAGTAAAAGTAAAAGTATCACATAATATACTTAAGTTTAAGTATTAGATTAAAGTAAAAACACATCTGAAGGGTAAAAAGTAAAAGTATTTAGTGCAGGTTTTGAGGTCCAATAAAGCTTCAGGTGTAGTGATTTTGATTCTGCTAAATCCTAATGGTTTTACAACATCATAATAAAAATAAACAACAATTCAGAATTTCCATGGTACACACATTAGTTAATTTGCTTCTGATAAGAGGGGTGAAAAAATACCATTTTCTAAACTCAAAATTGTACTTGAGCTTCACAAAAATGTACTGTGAAATGTGTAATATGTATCAGTGATATAGCGTCAACTTTTCTGTAAGGATTTGTCCAGTAAAACCTCAAAATCTTGATTTTTACATATATCTTAATCTGTTCTTAAATGAACCAATAACATAAAACAAAATTGTAAATGTTTTTATAGGACCCATATTACATAATTTTCTATAATGTTGTTTCCTCATCAAAGACATACCTGGAATTGTGTTTTATTTCATTCACACATGTTTAAGACACAAACCCTCTCAAATGGAAAAGCGTTCACCTTGTGATATCATGTGGTAATACAGGAAGTGCTTAAATCCTGTTTACTTTCACTATAATCATTTGGATAATTTTAGCCCTTAAATTGCCAATCTCTACTGAGCTAAAAGTAAAAGGTAGTTAACTTGAAAACTACGACTTTTTGATCTTTGGAGATGTAAAGATAATAAAGGTTTACTTAAACATGTGTGAATGAAACAAAACACACCTCCAGATACAGTATATTTTGAGGAGGATATTTTAAGGAACATTATAACATGGCTCACAACATTAAAGCTCACAAGAGTCAATTTAGTGTGATATAGGAGCTTTTAAGGCTAATTAAGTTCATGTAAAGTGTTACTACAGAATGTAATGCCCTACTATATGGAACGTGATGTCGTATATTTTGCAGGGAAGAGGGCTGGTGCTGGTTCGTCGGGCAGGTTTGCTAATGCCACCCTGGTGCGTCTGTCGGAGTACCTGAGCTCGGGGTATAAGAAAGGAGTGAGGCCTGTGAAAGACTGGAGGAGCTCCACTGTGGTGGCCATCGATCTCATGGTCTACTCCATACTCAACGTGGTCTGTGTCATTAAATACACAAATATACCGACTGATAAGCAGTGTTGGGAAGGTTACTTTTAAAATGTATTCCCCTACAGATTACAGATTACATACACCAAAATGTAGTTTGGAATGTAATCCATTAAATTACTTAAAGTGAGTAATGTAATCTGAATACTTTGGATTACTTGATTTGCGGGTTTAAACTTAGTTTAGACCTGGTTTAGACCTGGTTTAGACCTTGTTTAGACCTGGTTTTAGACCTGGTTTCGACCTGGTTTCGACCTGGTTTTAGACCTGGTTTATACCTGGTTTTAGTCCTGGTTTAGTCCTGGTTTAGACCTGGTTTTAGACCTGGTTTTAGACCTGGTTTAGTCCTGGTTTAGTCCTGGTTTTAGACCTGGTTTATACCTGGTTTTAGTCCTGGTTTAGTCCTGGTTAAGACCTGGTTTTAGACCTGGTTTTAGACCTGGTTTTTAGACCTGGTTAGACCTTAGTCCTGGTTTTAGACCTGGTTTATACCTGGTTTTAGTCCTGGTTTAGTCCTGGTTAAGACCTGGTTTTAGACCTGGTTTTAGACCTGGTTACCTGGTTTTAACCTGGTTTAGTCCTGGTTTTAGACCTGGTTTATACCTGGTTTTAGTCCTGGTTTTAGACCTGGTTTAGTCCTGGTTTAGTCCTGGTTTTAGACCTGGTTTATACCTGGTTTAGTCCTGGTTAAGTTTAAGACCTGGTTTTAGACCTGGTTTAGTCCTGGTTTAGACTGTTTAGACCTGGTTTAACCTGGTTTAGTCCTGGTTTAGACCTGGTTTAGACCTGGTTTTAGACCTGGTTTAGGCCTGGTTTAGTATCCGGCAATGAGTGGAATTAAGGGAAAAAATATATACAAAAGGGGGATATAGCCCAAAATGTGAAAACAGGAAAATACCGGCGTGTAATCCATTTTTTTCAACAAAATAACTGTAATCCAATTACCACTCACTGAAACAGTAACTGTAACTGAATACAGTTACTCATAATTTGTACTCTGATTACGTAACTCCAGTACATGTAATCTGTTACTCCCCAACACTGCTAATAAGTGAAGGCACTGTCCTGTCTGAAGCTCTGTTACTCAAGACTTTAAAGCCTCCATATTAGGCTGTTTTCTGATCTCGTTATGATGTTGTCTCTTCATCACAACACCTAAATGGAACCATAAACACTTGCACTGATCACAGGCTCAGGAAATTCACAAAACAATCTAATTACACAATATATAATAATAAATGTTTTATTCTATAATTCATTTTAATTTCGTTGCATGGAGCAGATGAATTGTGTAAAGTTGAATAACACATTTTCAGCAACAAATAAATTGCTTAGGGAGCACAAGTAATAATACTACATAAATAATATAAATAATAATAATAAAATACTGAAATGCTCTGTCCACTTTCATTAGGAACCATATGGAAGATTTGATATATTCAGATATGACTGTTATTTTACAGGATGAAAAGAATCAGGTTCTGACGACGTATGTGTGGTACAGACAGGTAAGACCATTTAAAACATCAAACTATTTATGTCTATTGTATAAAATATTATTAAAATGTTTCAATTTGATTTAAAAAATTAAAAGTAAATTAATGAAATGGAAGTATGTTTACATATCTGAGTGACTTCTTAAAAAAATTGTCATTTTAAATGTTATTGCATTTTTACCCTATTCTGCAGAGATCATCAATGAAAATAAGATTTATAAAGTACAAGTCTTTAAGGTGCATTGTGTAACATTTCTGGTGGAATCTGTAAAATGCTTTTCTCCATGGCGATGTTACTGCTTTGTCTGGAAAGTTTCACAGTATAGCTTTAAACCTTTCTATCTTCATGGAGATCAAACCAGACCAAGTTACAGGTCAGATCTGTGGAGAGGCGACTCACTCATACTCAGAATGCCTGTTTTTCTAGGTATTTTTGAGGTATAAAACCAACTCTGATGTAAGAAATGTAAGGTAGAGCTGTTTAATGTCATATTGTGGAACATTCCAGGCAGAGCAATGACATATTAATAGAAACAAGCAGGTGATGGACTTTCAACCAAAAAGTTTCAGAGTCCACCTTTAATGAAAGTACTGCATTTTTTTAATGTGTAAACTGTATCCACTTACCTTGTTTTCTGCTGTCCTGTGTTGAGTCTTGGACAGACGAGTTCCTGGTGTGGGACCCAGACGACTTTGACGACGTGAAGCAGGTGTCTCTGCCCACGGCCAACGTGTGGGTGCCTGACATCCTCATCAACGAGTTGTAAGATATACCACTAATAATACAATAATGTTTCTTATCTAAGATCCAACCTTATCCACATTTCACAGTATTACTGGCTTTCAGATGAATCCACAACATTGTATTGGCCGATATTATTTAATACAGATGGGGGCAGCTAAAATGTATATTGTTGTATTCCTGCTGTGACAGAGTGAGTTCTTGGGTCTAATCTAGAGTGACCAGATTTTCAAAATTCAAAACTGAGACACACCCAGGTTGGGATGGTTGATGTAAATAAAACTGTGAAAAGATTGTGACGTATGTAATGCCCTGGAACACTCAGTGGTGTCCAAGTAATCGCCGGCACAACAGCAAACAAAGCAGAGAGTGAACATGTCTGTTAACGATCATTGTCGTTTCTGCGAGGTGAACTTGCAAATTAAAGGTGCAATTAAAAATGCAAACTTTGTATTTGACAAAGGAGGTCCAAAGGAGGATAGCGTATACAGTCTGCCATCACAACTTAGGTTGGTTCAGCTCTTCGCTGATTGGCCGGTGCAAGGTCTACAACTTCTGCGGTTCTTGCAAACCGTCCAGTGTATTCTGATTTCTGACCTAGTTGCTGGAAAGAAATTAAATTGAGTGGAGGCACTAAGTGGCGCCAGCCTGACTACCTGTTTAGAGGTTTTTCAACAAAAGGGAATGAAAATTGTTGACTAATGCTGCTTGTTTAACGGTAAAATCCACTGGTTGTACTTGTGTGCCTCTTAGTTTAGACTGCACAGTGCCTACAGTTAGCATCACACCACCAAGGAATGTTGATGATCAGCTGTAAAATATCAATATGTTCTTGTTTCCCGTACAGTGTGGATGTGGGTAAATCTCCAGACATCCCCTATGTTTATGTGACACACGATGGACAGGTGAGGAACTACAAGCCCATCCAGGTGGTCACAGCCTGCACCCTCAACATCTACAACTTCCCCTTCGACGTGCAGAAGTGCAGCCTCACCTTCCAGAGCTGGCTCCACACCAGTAAGCACTTCTCACTATTTCAGTCATGAGCCAACAGAGCTCGTTGAAAAAAATGTCTCCCCTCTCTGTCAGAGTCCTGCTCGGGTCCATTTTTGGAGACTCCCTCCCGCCCGCACCCACACAGTACAGCACCACACCTGCCCATTAACCCATGATTATATCAAAGTGAAATCCTGCCTGGACCTGTTAACATTCAACCCATTACCCACCAGTGCTCGATAAATGATAAATGATGTGATAAATCAGGGTCAGCCCATTAGTCCGACAGCCCAATAGTCCAGGATTAAATTAGGACTAAACCAAGGCTAAACCTACGTCGTGTCATTAGCGGATTATAAAAATATATATCTATATCTATATCCATCTATCTATATTTATATACACACACACACACACACACTGCGCAACTGCAGAGCCAACCACCAGGACTGGACCAGGGCTACAACAGGACTGAACCAGGTCTAAACCATGACTAAACCAGTGTTATTAGCATAAATATATACATGCTGTAACTGCTGAGCTGATTGCCAGGACTACACCAGGACTACACCAAGACTGAACCAGGTCTAAATCAGGTCTAAACCAGGACTAACCAGTGTCATTAGCATAAATATATACACGCCTCAACTGCTGAGCTGATCACCAGGACTACAACTGGACTGGATCTAAACCAGGTCTAAACCAGGACTAAACCAGGACTAAACCAGGACTAAACCAGGACTAAACCAGGACAACCAGGACTAAATCAGGAGTATTTATGTAATAAATACACAAGTCTCTCTCTCAACGTAGTCGTCATCGTTCTGGGAAAAGACTGGGAAATGGCTCTTGTTTCCAGGGCAACGGACGTCCTAGACAAGCGTCAAGTATTTTTCTCCTGTTCATCATTCATTTAATTCACCTGACTCATCCGTGTGTAATCACTATCCACCCGCATACCCGTCCCAAAACATTAAAACCCGCCTGTTTCAGCAACTATTTGCAGGTGCCTGTTGGGTAACTGCAAGCCTTGATGAGCTTCATTTGACTGGAGCTGAACGCTATGGGTGACACACTCTGTCAGTCCACTTCTTTATCCAGTTACAGTATACAGATGAAGCCCAAAAGTGACCACCCATAAATATTTAAAGTTTGAAAGCTCAGGGGTAATCAGCAAATTTGTAACTAATGACCACAAGAATCAAATCTGTTTCTGAAACTTTATAATCTGCCAAATTACTAAAACATTTCACCAAATTTTGCGTTTTAAATGTGCTTTTTAGACTTTAAAACTCCATACACCTTCAGTAGAATCATTTGGTTCATTTCACCCCTGAAATTGTCAATCTCTACTGAACAAAAGGTAAAAGGTACTTCTTACCAAGAAAACTACTGCTTCATGACATCTCAAGGTAGAGCAGAGCATTTTGAGCTTTGGAGATGTAGACAGACTAATAATAAAGGATTACTCAAACATGTGAAACAAAGCACAACTCCAGGTCTGTTTTTGAAGAGGTATCAACATTCTAAGAGGGCGAAAAGCTCACAAGAGTCAATTTTGCATAATATATAGAAGCTTTAATATGGACAATTGTGCTGTGAATCTGATCGTAATGTCTGTGTGTAGTTGACGACATAAACATCACCCTGATGCGGACCCCCGAGGAGCTGAGGGAGGATAAGAGCGTGTTTATGAACCAGGGCGAGTGGGAGCTGCTGCACATCCTGTCCAACTACAAGATCTTCAGTGTGGACAACGACGACTACTACGCCGAGATGAAGTTCCACGTAAGCTCCTTCATATACATTAAAACCAAAGACTGTTGGATGTTTGGATTGGATTCATTTCCAACCATTCCATACTCAAGTTTGTGAGCGCTAGGAGCAAGATTAAAGCAACTACTTCCTCGTTTTGTGGTTGAAAATCAGGTAACTCAATTTGAGCTTTGGATATGTAGACAGACTAAAAACAGATAAAGGGTTACTCAAACATGTGTGAATGTAATAAAACACTACTCCAGGTATGTTTTTGATGAGGTAACAACATTATAATCATATCACCCATCTGTAAACATCTCATTCTCACAGGTGGTGATCCGACGCCGCCCGCTCTTCTACACAGTGAACCTCCTCTTGCCCAGTATGTTCCTGATGATCATGGATGTGGTGGGCTTCTACCTGCCCCCGGACAGTGGAGAGAGAGTGTCCTTCAAGATCACGCTGCTGCTGGGATACTCCGTGTTCCTCATCATCGTGTCTGATACTCTGCCAGCTACTGCCATCGGGACGCCTCTCATAGGTACAGTGTGTAGTATACAATAATATACATACAAAATATTTCAATATACAAAATATATCAATATACAAAATATTTCAAGTGGGAATAAAGACTTAGAGCTCGGTCCTCAACCACATTTCAAATATAGTAGACCTGCTCATGGGGCAGTACCTGGAGGACGAAGGGGGAAAGTGAAGGGGGAGGAGGGGCCAGGTCTGGGGGTATAAGAACAGTGCGATTATTTTAACATGTATCCACAATTCAAACTCTGGCACTGGCATTAATCAGGGCAATCTTATGTGATGTCACATAGTACTTGCAATCACAGAGGCCACTGAATGCAGCATACATAGATTTTGCTAATTTGCACTAAAGTTGCCAAAAAAGGACTAAGGGCAGTAGATAATATTATTAAAACTCCATATACACAGTTTAATAGTTTAAAAAAGTAGATTTAAAAGTAGTTAAAAATCTTCAACTTAAAGAGACACAGTGGTTGAGTGGCTCACACTTTGCAGGAAGAATGCTCCAGGTTTAATCTTGAGTCACCAAAGCTTTTATGTACAGTTTGCATGTTCTCCTTATAGACTCTAGTCTGCACTCTAGTTTCCTCCATCAACTCAAAGCATATAGGATCGGTAAAAACTTCCAACTAAGGAAGTCCTGATCAAGTCTAGCAACAAGACCATGGAGATGGCTCCTTGAGCATTTGCTCTGTGGTGCTGACTGCTGAGCAGATGCCAATCTGTAGATATCAAGTCTATTCCCAAGTATCGAAATTTTTGCACCTGCAACTGCTGCTGCTGCTACCAGGACCAGATCAAGAGTATGAGTATGAACACAGCCTCAGTAAACATTTCTCTGTATGTACCTTTGTATGACAGGGGTGTACTTTGTGGTGTGCATGGCCCTCCTGGTGATCAGCCTGACAGAGACGGTCCTGATCGTCCGGCTGGTGCACAAACAGGACCTGCAGCCTCCGGTCCCTCACTGGCTCAATACCTGGTCCTGGAGAAGGCCCCAGTGCTCTTCTGTATCCACCAGAAACACCGGCTCTGCTCCAGACTCTCGTCCCACTCCCAGACATCAGACCTCGAGCACTACAAGGACACCAACTACGGGACAGGTAAGAAATCAGTAGACAATGTGTGAAATAAATTAATGATTTTAGTTTGAGATGTTGCAACATTTTTTCATGTATCTTCTGTAGCCCAGTGCACCCTCCACCACAGCACTGACTTCAGCCGCAGACGCAGCCACCACGACCGGGACGGGGGTCTCCTTCTGGGCTTCCCCTCCTCCAGAGACCCACCAGCGCCCCCTCCTGTCATGAACAACATCCTACAAGAAGTCACGGCCATCCGACATTTCCTGGAGAAGAGAGACCGCTGCCGGGAGGTGGCTAAAGAGTGGCTCCAGGTGGGCTATGTGCTGGATGTACTGCTATTTCGGGTCTACTTGGTTGCCATGGTAACCTACAGCATCACACTGGGCACATTATGGGCCGTGTGGCAGGGGGCATGAGTCTAAAGTGCTGTGATTATGATGCATTAAAGCAAAAAGTAATGGTCCTATTGTAGTGCCTTGTGGAACACCATAGGAACTAAATGGTGGAATTTGCTAAATCGTTCGCACCGGATTATAGTGTTTGTCAGTGCAATTTAAAAATATGAATGGAAAAAGGTGAGGGTGAAAGAAGTTTATGAGAAGGCGCAAATGATAAACAGAAATAATTTTGAAATGGAAATCTGAAAGTAAGTCGTTGTCAAGGCAACAGTTGTGTAAGTAATATAATGTTCTTTGCAGATAAGACAATCGTCTCTATTCACACTTACGTCACAAACCAGGAAGATGTTTGGAAACTTGCGATGACAACTTTCAGTGTAGTTCCCGACACTGGGCTCACTGACCGACTGTGATGAAACCCATTGAAGTAAATGTGATCAGCGGTAAAATGAAGACTGCAGACGTACATACACTATCAGTCAAAAGTTTTAGAACACCCACTTTTCCAGTTTTTTACTGTTTACTGTTGACCAAAATGTTTTCTAAACTTTTGACTCATGAAAGCGTCCACCTTTGGCAGATATAACAGCTGAACACACTCGTGGCTCGTTCTTTTTTACAAGAGAAATCAAATATTCATCAGAAAAGTTCTTCCCAATCTGTTGTAGAAGTTCCCATAAATGTGTAGCACTTGTAGGTTGCTTCACTCTTCTGTCCAGTTCATCCCAAACCAGCTCGATGGGGTTTAAGTCTGGACACTGTGCTGGACACTCCATGTTTTCAAGCTTCACCTTTCAAGCTTCTTGTTCTTTTTTCCTGAGGTAGTATTGGCAGAGCTTGGACTTATTTTTTTAAACTCTGGCTGTTCAGTTCTTACCTCTGTACCATTTCAAGCTCTCCATTGGACTTGCATGGCTTGAATTGCAATAAATAACTGGAAAAATTGAGGGTGACTGGTAATGTATGTGCTGTTTAGAATCATCTTGAATTTGGCGCCTCATCTCTTCTCATCGCATGTACCCAGTGCGCTCAGAGTTGTGTGTCAGTGTGGAAATGATGAAAACTGAGGTATGGTTGTAATTGTTGATGAGCCGAACATCATGGAACCCTACAATGACATGTAGATGAAGAAAACTGGGACATTTTTAAATTTTTCCTAAATTTTGTCAGAGTTACTACTGAACAGAGCCCACGCCGGAAGTTGTCATTGCATGTTTCTAAATATTTTTCTAGTTTGTGACGTAAGCATAAATAGAGCCTATATATCTCTCACTCTTGTCCTAATTTGTTAAAAATCTGTAAACCTTTTGTTAAACTCTTCAAAAGCTGTTCTGTAATGCTGTAAGAGTTTTCCAAATGACTGAAATATTTTCTTTATTTTTATGTAATAAATGATACTTTGCAGCTGATTCTTCAACATTTCCCTGGGGTATGATGCTAAATGAAGGCGCTGCTCTCTCTGAAGCTCTGTTAGACTTTAATCTGAACTTTATTTTAAAAAACAACTCTGACCAGAAAGAGCTGGTTTAGTTGGAACTACAACAAGTCAGCTGATTTGTGCTGTTAAACAAGTCTCTTTCAAGTTAACATTACAACATCACAAACTACTGAGAATAAGCTGACAGTTTTTCAGTTTTTCTCCTTTTTGTTGAGTTTTGCCTCAGACCTTTTTGTGGCTGTGTTTGCTAATGTGTGCTTTGTGTCACCACGATAACTACAAAAACATTCTGCCATAGAAATACATGTACAAATGCCCACTGAAATGGAATATACCAAAAATGACTGCTTTAAAAGATGCTCCACATGTAAAGAGTGTCCTATTTTGCTCTGTGCTTTTATATTAAATTATAAAATGTCAAAGAATTGTAAACAAAATATGTGAGGCTGGCTATTAAAGGTGCACTTTGTAACTTTTCTGGTGGGGAGTTTGATGCCTGGTTGTTTCCGTAGAGATTTTATCGCATTTCCTGCCTGTTACACTATGACATTTTGCAATTATTCAATTACAACAGTTTTTATTGCAAAAGAAGTACCCTGAAGTCACAGATCTGGAAATAAATATGAGTCAGGACCAGACAATAATTCTAATAGACACAATAGATAGAGGATTACAAATTCCTAAAACCCCCAAAAATACAATTAATTGAATTTAGTTGAAATGTTAATATAAATACATTAATGCTTAAGGGTAGATAATACAGAAATCAATATTAGAGCAATCTACAGTACACTCTATAGCCAGAAGGGGGCAGCAAACACAAGCACATCAGTTGTACATTGGCCTGTTGAGAGATGGCATGGTACTGTTGAAAATACATCCTCTCAAGTGATGCTTAAAATTAAATAAAACAAAATATTAATGTTTTTACTGCTTTAAAAAACATGGATTCTAGCCATGTACTTTTACAGTATTGCAACTCTATTTACATGCAACATTATCATCTTTTTAATAATAAAAAAATAATAATAATAAAAAATCAAACAACCAAGTAAGAGTTGTGTGTAAAGAAAAAGGCCTATGTCAGACATGTCAAACTCAGGCTCGGGGGCCAAATTTGGCTCGCGATATAATTATATTTGGCCCGCGAGATCATATCATATATATATTAGAGCTGCTCGCCAGATACAGACAGGCTACAGAGACATTATTTATTTAAAATGTTGTTATTATTTTATATTTTGTTTGTTCTGAATTCAGTGTTGAAGCAAAACTATTATTAAACATTTATTTTAGTAAGAAAAGTTTAACATTACATATCTCGAAAGAAGAGAAAACATGCAGATGTTGTTGAAAATTTTCAATAAATATTTAGTTTGGCCCATGACTTAGTCCCAGTTTTTAATTTTGGCCCTCTGTGAATTTGAGTTTGACACCCCTGGCCTATGTGAACATTTTTTAAAATCTATGTTATAATGTTGTTTCCTTGTTAAAAATATACTTGGAGTTGTGTTTTCTTGCATTTTTAGTCTTCTCGCAAACTGAAAAAAACTCCCATTGGGCACCACAGTTTTTTAACACGGAAATCAACTGACTTGTTGCTTTTATTAAGTAATTTTCTCCAAGTTATAACACACCAATCCACAAAGGTCATAGATGATATAACTAGCAGACACAAGCACAATATGTGTTCTTTTAGATTATTTAAATGAAAATACAAACCGCAAAATCACACATTAATGATCAGAGGGAACATTATCAGAAATAAATCAGATGTTTTCCTTGAATGTGGATTTTGTGTCCTTTAATTCTAAAATATTTTAAAGGTCCTATATTAAACAAAACTGATTATTTTGTCCAAATTATAACACAATGAAAGGTCATAGATTATAACTAGCAGACACAAGCACAATATACAGTATGTTCTGCAAGAATATTTAATGAGATGCAAACGACAACATCACACATTAGTGATCAGAGGAACACTGAGATTGAGATTTATGTATTTATTTTGGACAAGTAAGAAATGTACATTCTTTTACAATGGAACATATAACATTAATGAAATCATAGCAGAAATAACAGCAACAAAAAATAAATAAATAAAGAAAAATTGGCCCAAAAAGGAGTGGGAAGAAGAAAATTTATTTAATGCCACGTCCCTCTTCCCATCTAACACAATGAGCTTTCTTTTGAAGTTTTCAGACATTTTACATGAAACTATATGAACTATTTACAAGTGCGAATAAAGAGTCACTGTTATAGTTTGATAACTATGTTGCAATAAATACGACAATGGTGAGGAAAATTAAAGATACAAACAATGGTGAGGAAACAACAAGCATAAAGCAGCACAGCAGAAGGAAAGAAATCAGTCTTAAATAATTTAAAGGTACTATATTAAACAAAATGGATTCTTTTTTGTTTTTTTCTCATAAGAGCTGAAATGATCCAAACGATTCTAGTGAAGGTGTATGGAATGTAAAAACACAGTGGAGCACTTTTTGTAGAGGTGCAAATGCAAGAAACAGCTAAATAAAAATGAAAAAAACGCACCTCACACTCAGATGGCTAAAATCGTTTCTTTATTTTCAAATAACGTTTCGACAAAAAAGCCTTCGTCTGATCATTTTTCTGTGGTCCAAAGCAAGAAAAATGATCTGACTAAAGCTTTTTTTTTTGGAGTAACGTTATTTAAAAATAAAGAAAAGCTTTTGAACATCGACTATCTGAGTGTGTGATGCATTTTTTCACTTTTATGATGAAAGACCTCAGCCCAAATATGCAGAATTTGTGTGTTAAACATGTATGAATGAACCAAAACAACACACCAGGTATGTTTTTGATGAGGAAATGACATTATAACATCAGAAAATACTGTAATATTGGACCTTTGAACACGAAAGAGAGACCGATGTTATCTCATTTAGTTATAATTCGCAAAATCCTCACCCCTCCGTATTGCTTTGTCCATCACCGGGCGCTGCTTTTCCTTTCTTACGCTCCACAATTGGATCAAAGTGGGAGCAGAGCAGCAGAAGTGGCACAAAAACAGCTCATTTCCTCTTCGCTCTCGGCCAAACGCGGAGGAACTGTCCACACACCGGTGCTGGGGCGCGGGGGACATTAGAGCGGGAGGGACAGCTGTGCATCATCACTATTTCATAAGTTTTACACATCAGGGGAAAAGATACTGCAGTTATTGTTTGGGTTCATAACATGAGAAGGAACTTTAAAATTGAGATAGAGGACAGTGAAAATTCTATGGTAAAATATATTCTCTTTCAGCGCAGCAACACGGATTTGGTTTCTTATTCAACAAATAGTTACTTAAATGTTCTGTATTGTGTGGATGTGTCATTGCTCTGCTTAAAATGTTACACAGTATGGCTTTAAACAGCTCTACCTTACATTTATTCATTACATTTACATTTACAGGTAGTTGTGTAACAGAAAAATACTAGAAAAACAGGCATTCTGACTGTGAGCGGGGTCGCCTTTCCGCAGATCTGACCTGTAACTTGGTCTGGTTTGGTCTTTATGAAGGTATCAATCTAATTCAGCCCACTTTATTTCTACA